CACAACTGAGACGTACTGCACACTAGATGATGTACACGTGCAGTAACTAGAAAAGGATACCGTACACAACTGAGACGTACTGCACACAAGAAGATGGACACGTGTAGTAACTAGAAAAGGACGTTATAGGTAGATGATGGTGGTGACGTGAAATCTCATGAATGTGTATATTTGGGCGCTTTACAGATACCTTACTCTATCATTGTAGTTGCAAGTTTTTAAAGATAAATACATGTAGGAAAAATTTAGATTAATAGAAGACAATTGATCTTGGGATTGATTGATTAATTATGTTTAACAGGGGAGAGAAATCTGATGATCAATATTAAAAACAACTACAGGTCTCGCTCACGTGGCAGACATCTTGACTATATAGTTGGAAACAATAGATTATTACAGGCGGTAGGTTTGCATTCAAGTGCTTGAGAATTATTATGTGTATGCGGGTTAAACAAAGGAATTAATTCTCATGAGAATAAACATGGCTACCGCGTGAGTGACACCTATAGACATTTGTCAATTATCAATTGGCTGACTCTTCCAATTACTCGATTCAATGAAATCAACTTTATAAAGTTAGAATATATATTATAAAGATATAATATATCAATAGATAACATTTATCTATTTGGTCTTAGAGACAAACCATAAAGGTAAAATACAAAGGAATTTGAATTCAGAAGAAAAAATAATAGGTTAGGAAAAAATATGGCAAGCCTCACAAATAGAAAAGAAGAAAGACCAGCATAGGATCGAGCGGACATTTCAATCTAATTATTTAAACCTTTGCTGTTTAATCTTAGAAATGATCGTTGATTTGTGAGGGGAGTGGGGTGGGGGTGGGGGTTCAAGCACCCCCTCCACTTACTACACCCCCTAAAAACCTATTGGATAAGCTAAAAAAGGTAATTCCAAGGGGGGAGCTAAACCATACACTACCTCTCCCCCCTTCGGAATAGATAGATTTTGAGTATCCTCATACAGGAGAACGACTTTTCAGATATTTGCCTTTCGTTTAAAACAGCAACAACATAGAACAACCTCTCCCTTTACAAATAAGGGTATAGAGGCTTTGCACCATCACGTTATGGCAGCCATGACAGGGGAGGGGATAATAATAGAGCATTTTTCTCCTGGGAAACTGAATCCTTTCTCATGTAAAGCAGATTAGACCAGAATAGCGCAGCGCAGCCGTGACGTCATAAAAACGAAGACAAAGGCGAAATTCGGACAAACAAACTTACAAGTTTACTTTCAGCAGATAATTTTCACAGCCGATCGCAGTTGATCTTAGTTTACATGGGTTATTATTGTAACTTTAAGTGTAAAAAATAAAATCGGTTCGTATAATCCTCGTAGCGGTTAAACAGAATGCAATGTTTGTCCGAATCTTTAAGCTATTTTTAGAATGAGCGCGCTGCGCTATTAATTGTTCCTGCCCCCTGTCATGGCTGCCATCACGTGATGGTGCAAAGCCTCTATTCAAAAGGTGGTAGGAATCTTAAGAAGTATTATACTCAATCATTAGCTTATAAACAAATAATGTAGTGTATATGACGGTATATTTTATCCAGTAAATATATAAATATCAAAGGTTGATGGTTAGTTTTATAGTAATAGTCCATCAAACGAAATGATTGATCGATCACTGATGTAAATAAAATCAAATAGAATCAAATATATAGACTATACCAATATAGGCAAATAAATATTGAGGAAATATGGCGATTTTAATTAATTTTTTCTATGAAGTAAGGATGACGTCTGAATATGTGTGTTGTGTGGGACACGTAAAATGTAATGGGGTGGGGAAAAAATAGTCTGCAACTGGAGTGACGAATAAATTTGATTTTATGTATGTGATATGTAAGAATGAAGTATGCATGTACGGAGTGTGGAATACAAAGAAGGGGAAGAGAAAGAATTCACCTTTTCGGCGCTAGCCGTCACGGAGTATAAATTATTTTAGATTGTGTTACTGTCACCAATAAGTTCGGACATTGTTCTCGAATTTCCGTACAAATGTACTGACTTTAAATGAGCTATTTACTTGGTTTGTTTAGTTAGTTCTCTAAATACAAGTAAAGATCATTTTTCTATCTTGATTGAAACTTTTCTTACTGCTCTTAAGAGAGCTAACTAAAGAAGTCTGTACCTAAATTTTCTGTTTAAAGTCAGTGAATTTGTATGGGAATCCGAGAACAATGTCCGAACTTTTTGGTGACCGTAACACAATCCAAGCTAGCGCCGAAAAGGTGAATGGGCGAATCCGCATTTTGATTATGTGTGTGACGTGAGAAAATGACGTCTGAATCAGTGTGGCGTATGTGACGTAAGGAATCCGTTGCTACGTCGGACAAGCTAAAATGTGTTTTTTCGATATACAGCATGGACAGACACCGATTGCTGAAAATTTTTAAATGTCTGTCATTCATGTCCGCAAGTGTCGCGTCTGGGACCCAAAGAATGGAGTGAAAAAGAATTCGTCTGCAATTTGAGTGGCAAATTATTTTATTTTTTTCTGTGAAGTAAGAATGACGTCTGAATATGTGTAGCGTCTGGGAAACAAAGATGGGGTTAAAAAGAATTGGTCTGCGTGCGTTTTGAGAGGCAATTTTTTTCTTCTTTTTGAAGTAAGAATGACGTCTGAATTTGTGTCGAGTGTAGAACACAAGAAAGGGGGTGAGGAAGAATAGACCTGTTTCGAATTCCAAATTACCGCTGTGTTTCTTGATTACAGACTCATTTGCACAGGGTTAGCCTCGAGTTTGTGCAGAATGTGCACGTGTCCCAGTCAAGGTCCGTCGAGTTTCAAAGTGTTTGTATTGTTGAAGTTGTGCATTCTTTACTTTACCGTTGGTATTTGTGAATATTTAAACACTGATACGAGGCTAACCCTGTGCAAATGAGTCTGTGATCAAGAAACACAGCGGTAATTTGGAATTCAAAACTGGTCTATTGGTCTACAATCGAAGTGATTAATTGATTTGGTTTTTTAATTAATTAAGAATGACGTCTGCATGCTTGTCGTGTGGGACATAAAGCATGAAACGGGGTGAAACAGTATTGGTCTACGTACACTTGGAGTGATTAATCATTTTGATATGTTCTATATGAAGTAAGAATGACGTGAATATGTGTCGAGTGTGCGACACAAAGAATGGAGCAAAACAGAAATGGTCTGCAATTGGAGTGATAAATATTTTTGATTTGTGTATGAAGTAATATTGACACCTTTTGTGGTATGTGACACTTGAAGAGAGAGAAAGGGTGAGATTAATTTGGTATGCACGTGAAATGGTGGATCACCATACAACCTAGCGTACTCTGGGACAGGGAACAACCAAAGAAGAGTTGGACCGCAGAAACAGGTCGAATCCACGTGATTCCAACCAAAGTTGGACGTGCCGCAGTATAGATGACCCCGTAGGCGATTTTCCAAGCAAGGTCAGTGACCCGCCTTTCTGTCGCACAGCCTGTTGCCAGACATTATTATCAAGCCACACTACATCAGGGTAGACTGACCTGCAACCCACATTCCATTTAGCCCGCTACGCAGGTTAGCATAGATCTAGACGGGCGTAAACTTTGCAACGCAATGCGGTATGGGTGATCGACTGCTTTATTTTACCAACTGATAAGCGCCTTTCACAGTGTTAGTGAGCGATGACAAGGTAGACGGGCAATCTGACCGGTTGTAAAAGATGTCGCTTAGGCCACTAAAGCCGATCCCTCCATCAAGGGCGTTCCAGGGTTCCACGACATCCAGGCAGGAAGACGTAAGTGATTTTTGACATCTGAATGTGGGACGGACAGAAGGAGAGGGTGTAGGAAGGATTTGATGTATGATATGCAGCCGCGTACAGCACTGTAAACGTCACTAATCATTCATTTCTCAAACACCCAGCAACTGAATGAGCACAAGAAAAAGAAATAATCTAGCTGAATGAGCTGTTTTTTATAGCCATTTCTCTGACAAATTGACAGCAGTTCACGGTGTTTGACCAACAATTGTAACAGACGCATTTTAACAGTTGGGTGAAATCCATCAATTTGCTCGTTCAACTTCCACAACGTAACACCCCACCAAACACAAAACATCGATTAATTTGAAAAGCGGGTAGCAACAGTTGTACAAGTTATGGCGCATTTATTATATTAATATATTTATTATATAGTTGGGATAGTACGCTCGCGCTGATTGGTCGAAAACTGTGCTTTATTAGTGAACGGAGCACAGTGCTGACGCCAGCCGCGCGCGCGAAGTGCTGCTAGATCCTGTAACCGTCTTTCTTTTTGCGTAAATAAATTCAATACCCAAATAAAATTAGTAACTATATGATAAAACGAATAAAACAGCTTTTTACGTGCTCCGTTCAGTAATAAAGCGTTTAGGAAGCGCCGTAAGCAGTCAAGAAGTGTGAGAAGCACTCGCCCACGGCTCGTGCTTCTCCTTACACTTCTTTCGTGCTTACGGCGCTTCCTAAGTGCTTCATTACTGAACGGAGCACGGAAAAAGCTGTTTTATTTGTTAACTAATTCGTCTTGGTGCAACGTTTTCCCATTTCAGCTCACGTATATCATTCCTTTGAGAATAAGTGTGTCTAATCTATATCCATATTCATGTCTTCTATGCGCAGCCGTCAAACAAAGAAATGATACTCTAGGGGGGCGGGCAAACGATTTCGGTCTGCAACGGGAAAACAGGGTGAATTAGGTTATTTGACGTTGGCATATTGCCTCACGCATAACTAAGATAAAACTAAAGTAAAAGTTAGTCTTTTCTAAGCATATTTTGGAGAATTTATTTCTTGAAATACCATTGAAGTGGTACTAGAATTAAATATCAAGAATATCAGCGGTCTAATAGTCACGTGACTTACACTACTTTCAGCAGTTTCTTTCCCATAGTCTGATTTAGTCTGATGTATTCATACATGCCAATAAAGCAAAGGGACTACAGGGTTTCTATATAGTACAATGAACTGCTATTTTAGTTATCGGGTTTCGTTTCTAGTCTTGGTAAACTAGGATATATATGGTGCATGGAATTATACTTTTCTTTGAACATGCAAATTATACGGCACCGGACGAAATCTTAACCGGTCAAAAATTTGACCTGTACATACCGTTTGCATCGCGGAACCGTCATTTTATAAAAAGTACGTTCTATTTACACGGAAAGGAATCTGAATTTGCACGGCTAGACGTACAAATTTTTGTTCGGATAGCTCAGTCCCGTGTGAACGCAACCCTTAAACATCTTTTTGTCCGGGTAAAAATTCGTCCGGTATAGTGAAACCCGAACCCAAGTCTCCTAGAAAAGATGCATGCCATATATATGTGAAACAAAATCAAAGATGTATTGTCTAATTGCAGTACGAAAATATTTGATATTAGTGGAGCAGAATATTGGGAACAAAAGCAAACACCTTTGTTTGGTTCATGTCTGAGTAATTCTTAGTTAATTGACAACTAACTTTTTGATAACTAAATACTCTTAGATTAAGCAGTACATAGCAAGTCAATAGACCACTTCAGATCACGTCATTCCTTTGAGAATAGAAATGATACTCAAGAGAATGACACGTGGTCAGAAATGGACAAACATTACGTCCAAGCGAAAGAGGCCTATTGTGTCACGGATATATGGCGTGCGTGATGTGTATAAAGAGAGCCATGATGTGTATAAAGAGAACCATGATAATATACCACACACTGAGGCGCGCCCCTTTGGAAGCAACAGTTCAGAGTGATTAACCAAGTAAACCAACATCTTTTGCCTTTGCGCGCACCCTTTGCGAGTCTGCCAAACTAGACCTTCTTACCTTGGGAGTAAAGTTTTCCCATCTCAGACCACTTGTAATTCTCTTGGGAATAAGATCCTTTGTTTGAGTTGTATCCATATTCCCGCAACTTCTCATACGCAGCATGTAAACAAAGAAATGATACTCTAGGGAATGACATGTGGTGTGAAATGGGAAAACAGTACGCCCGAGCTATAAAGGTCTATTAGGAGCCCCAAAACTCAAAAGACAGAACCCAAAGGAATTCAGCGTAGCTACATCTGTATCATTTGTGTTTCATTTTGTGGATATTACCAGCTAGAAGAGTGACAAAGATGACTACCTTTATTACGAAGCAATATCCTCGTGCCCAAACGTCGCATAAAAACTTTTCAATCACACGCGCCTATTGGATATTCCAAGGTTGAGGAAAAACTAGGTCGAGTTGACATTTCAGTGCATTGTGTGGCTGTTTAAGGGGACACATCTTAAAGATGGCTTATATTTTATCCCCTTAAAGAGTCCAACAGTGCACTGCAACGCCAATACGACCCAGTCTTTTTCTCAGGCGAGTGTGATTGGAAAATTTTTATTTTCTGACAATGTCATGAAAAAACGGCTTTGTTGGACTTCCTTTTAAGCCCGATTTCGATCCTGCACGTGCTATTTAGCTTTGAAGCACTGTAAAACTAAGTTCATCTTCAGAGGTCCTTGGTCCATGACTTACTCAAGTACGATTTGTGTTCCCCTTATAAATTTTTCGTAATTTATAGAGAACTAGTGTAAAAATATATTTAAATCTATTAAATATTAAATTAGAAGGAAATTTAAAGCTAATGCTATCTTATAGTCCCCAGTCTCCCTCGTCTTTGGTGGCCGGCGTGACCTGCAAACAAAAACAAGATAACGTCAAGAAAAGCTTCACAAAATCATGGTTTGGTGATCATTGTGAAGTCCTTGTTGTTTATAAAAACAAGCTACTGTTTTTGATGAAGCGTGGAATTGAGTGTTCTTTCGGAAGCCGAGTTTGTTTTGGGTTGCCTGTTGAAGTACGTGTAATTGCGGAAGTGAATGACATTTCGGAGCCCGAGGTTATGTTCTGGAATATCAATGTGCGTACTGTTTCGGCAGGCGAGTTATTTGTGTTACTTGTCGAAGTGAGAACTATTGAGGTGTGGAAATTATCAAACAAAACATGAGAAGTTAAATGATCCCCTTCTATATAAACTTACCGAAATAACTCTCTACTTCGTCGGCCTCGTCGCTGATTGGCGAGATCCCTCTGCTATCACCATGGTGACCACTATGTGACGTATGAAGGTCACTGCCTGGTGGCCCAGCAGAGATTGACATACTAACACCTGTAATACCACCCAGGTCCAGCGGTTGTCGGTTAGTTCCCAGTACTCCTCTGCTATGATTAAAATTGTTCATTGGTGTTGATAACCGACGGTTGTTTGCATTAGCACTGGGCGTATCAGTCTGAAAGCAAATATACAAACTAGGTTAAAACCAAAGGAAAGGACAGGTATAAAGAATATAACTTATTTGCTAACTTGTTCAAAAACAACCTTTCTGAGACTCACATAGTTACGAGCGAATTGGGTATAAAATCGAAGTTGAGAGAGGTGGACTTAATTCCTCATTTAGGATATCCAATTGCGTCTCGCGCCAATAATGGCGTGTATTTCTGAAGCGCGCGCTAAATTTTCGTGCGTTGATAAAGAGCGCGAGCATAATTTTTGGGTGGCTAGAATTGGCGGGAAACAAGTTGGAAAAGGCCTTCGTTCGTCCAGGGCGTGGTTCTGATTGGGCTGCCTGTGTTTTATTTAGCACGCGTGAAGTAATACGGAGACAAAGGACTTTGCGAAAGTCTCCTTGTTTTCATGTGCAGGAGGCAAAAAATAACGGAAACCAGCGAGAATGTGAAATCAAGTATTCGTGGACGTCAGTCATAAGCGTTTCCATGACAGCAAGTTGGGAAACCGAGTATTCGTGGACGTCAGTCATAAGCGTTTCCATGACAGCAAGTTGGGAAATCGAGTATTCATGGACGTCAGTCATGAGCGTTTCCATGACAGCAAGTTCAACCCATTTTCTCAGCAAGACTTACATGACCCGCAATACTCGTTTTGATAGTATTGAGACAGTTGCAATCAAAATATAAAAAGTGCAGCAATATTTAACTTACTCGAAACGAATGAGTTGTGTTTGGCCGGGATTCAGAGAACACTGGTGCTCTTTCTCGTAAACTCCGCCTACGGAAAACAGATGAATTGGTTTTATTTCAGTACAATAAGCCTTTTCATAGTTTAAGAATCGATTCCACTGCGCATGCGATTTTATCCCGAATTTCTCGCCTTCTTTTGTTTAATTAAGAACAAAAGAAGGTTTAGACAAAAGAAGGTGAGAAATTCGGGATAAAATCGCATGCGCAGTGGATCGATTCTTAAACTATGAAAAGGCTTATTAATACTCTCTTTCTTTCAGTAGGTTCAATAATTTTTTACCCAATTTTACAAAACGCAGATTATTACCTTGAATCATCTGTGGCTGCACTGGATGCACGAACATTAAAATGGACTTTAGCTTTCTGTTAAGGGAACACAGTTAAGACATTATTTAGCAACCAAACGACCAATACTATGAATAATGTGAATACTGTTATATAAGTTGTCACATTCAATCTTTCATCACAAAAATTAACAATCATTCATCTCTACAAACACCAAACAACCAAATGGTGTGTTACCATGAAATTCAAGAGACCGATATACAACATTTCAATGCCCTCCATGAAAATACATTATAACAATTTATTACCATATCATGTTACAGTCAAACTAAGAAAACCGCCTAGAATGTTAAACATCGTGTTCTGACCAATCGCATGCGAGAATGAATACATCTTTATGAAATAACTGTTATGAATGTCGCGTTCTGATTGGTTTGGAGTGCGTGCTTTATGAGAGCACATTGCACGCGCGCGCACTTTCCATTGCGTCATTCCTATCTATCATTGTAATTTGTATTTTATAAAAGAAATAAATAACATGCTTGCTGTGCTGTGTGCAGTCATAAAGCACTTGGGGATTGGCAGAACACTCGAGAAGTGTCCAGAAGCACTCCGCTACGCGTCGTGCTTCTCCTAACCCTTCTCTCATGTTCTGCCAACCCCCGCGTGCTCTATGACAGCACACAGCACGCGTGCTCTATGACAGCACACAGCACGCGCGCGCGTTTTCTATCTCTTCACTAATTAACTGTTGCATGTGATTGGTCAGAACACGATGGCTAACATTCCAGACATATTTAGGTGTTCACGTTTTTCTTAGTTTGGCTGTAAAACATCTGATGAAGGTCGCAGTACCCGACGAAACGTCTAAATAAGATAAAATAATCAGAGATCAGTCCTTACCGCACTACTTCTAGCAGCAGAATGTAATGTTTGATTAGATGATCCAGTAGTTGACGCTGATACTAAAGTAGACACCGCTGCAGTACTTTCACCATATGATACCGTTCTTTCTAGTGGAGGCAGCGTACCATTCCTAGCCCCCCATGGCTGGGGAGATGAGGTATTGAGGGGGTGTGGTGGGGATGTCAATCGTTCTCCACCTGGTAATCTGTAACAAAATTGAAGTACATTGTAGTGAATGTGATTTAGCTAGTTTTTATAACGAAAACATGTATTGGTATTCTCAAGAGAAGCGCAGTTAAAGATATTAGCCAGTCGGAGGGTGAGGAAAAAACTGAGTCGAGTTGGTGTCTGTTTTATGGGACGAAATAGATGCCGTCTTAACAATATGTCCCCTAAACAGTCCTACAATGCGCCACAGGACTGCAATCGAACGCAACCTCGAAATTTCCCCCCGTTCCCTTGCAGCGTATCCTCAATTCTACATGCAACGATCCAAAAGTATGTACTTACAATTTAGTTCCACGTACGATTTCACATTTAACATCCTCCTGTCGAAATAGAAAAACGAAAGAAATGAATGAGAATTGTAAAATTTATCTTTTTTGCTTTTAGTTTCGTTGGTTTCATTCTTTAATACTCCATTCCACGCTTTTTCACTAATTACCGCTGAACGATAACTTAGCGGGCGCAGAACTGACGTGCAAACGACGCTTACACTAAGCAGCAGTCAATGCAAGACTATCTTACCTGTGTATTAGGTGTTTTGGGTCTTTCGCGTTCCAAAGGTGCCAGCCTTTGACTCGCGGGATTCCTGTTAGAATTGGTAAGCCAAGACAGCAGATTAAAAAGGAGGGAAGAAAGCATTTGATGGTTCGATGGTTATTTAAATACAAGAGTTTTGGAATTATTTATTCCCATTTATAAAATAACTGTTGTAATTCTCGCGTCCTGATTGGTTCGGAAGCATGTGGATTATGAGAGCACACAGCATGCGCCCGCACTTTCTATTTCGTCATTCGTGTCCAAAATCTAATATCCATTTCATAAAACAAATAACAAATTTGCTTGCTGTTTTGTGTGAAGTTATTAAGCAATTATGGACTGGCAGAACACTCGAGTAGTGTTGTCTAGTGCCCACCCCATGCTTTACAACTACACACAGCACGCGCCCACGTTTTCTTTTTCTTTACTATAAAATAATTACCATTATAAATCTCGCGTTTTGATTGGTTAGAAGGTCGTTCTTTATCAGGGCACAAAGAACGCGCACATATTTTCAGTTGCGTCATTCGTATCCAAAATAAAGGTTATTGTAATTTATATCTTATAAAAGAAATAACGAACTTGCCTGATTGGCAGAGCACTCTAGAATTGTGAAGAAGCACTCTGCTTCTTGTCGTTCTTCTCCTAACACGTCTCTCGTATTCTGCCAACCCCTGCGTGCTCTATAACTGCACACAGCTCGCGCGAACGTTTTCTATTTCTTTACGTACCTTCTGGTCTTTGCGGACGCCATGCGATTTAAAAAATTGTCAGGAACACGTCCAAATCTAGACATTCGTGAGGCCACAGTACTACTGGATCCCGGTCTTCCCTATAAAAACAGCGGACAGAGAAAAATGTTGGACATTTAACCTCGATTTACGCAAAAAGACTTTAGCAAAACATCCATCATCGTTTACCTGTATATAGGGTGTTCCTTCCCGACTATCAATAGGGCTGTAAAAACAATAAAGTACATCTCGATTTATGGAAGTATATTATAAGGTAAAATGATATAACAAGGAGAGTAGCTATGGCTGTATATATTACATCTAGACGGGTTTCTTTTCAGAAGAAAAAGTTTAGTTGGAGTAAAGGGAAAGTATTACTTACTGTATGGCTGCTGCAGATGGTGCTCTGTGCTGTAATGCTAGTGACTTGATCATCATAACGTCTTTAAGACCCTTGACGTCCAGCGGAGGGTTTAGACTTGTCGACGTTCGTAAGCGAAACTGAAGACACAAGGATATCAAACAGTTTTCAAAAAGGGCCTATGTCGTACGCCCCCCTCTCTTGGGACAGTAAAATCCACATTACTCCTTGAGGTAACTACAGCACTGGCCTGATCCTCTAGGAAGGGGGGGGGGGGGGGGGGDTTGGGCACAGGGATAACACTTCCCCACTCTGTTGAAAATGCTTCTGCTGCTGGCCGTACCGTTAAAAGGGGCCTGGCCCGTGCTCCTTCTCCCCCCTTCTTCCCCCCCCCCCCCCCTCCCCAAGTTTCCACAAAAGAGTGATAATAAGTCTTCCTTTTGGAATTAAATTTTCAATTTGTTGTGACCATGTGTTGTGAAGTGACTTCGTGCCTCCATCCCAGTTTTTGCTAAAACTAAAAAGGGCCACACCCATTATGCTTCATCGCGGGTGATGGAGTGATAATCTCAATCCTCAATCCAACTGAGTGCCTGAAAATCGTTAAATCGTCTAACATTTTTCTTTGAAAACGTGAGGACTCTTAATTGACTAACAATAATTATACCTGTGAAGGGAAATGACCGATTCTTGAGCTAACATCTCTAGATATTGGTCGTAAAGGACTATCTATGGCACGCTCAGGTTGTCTGACAGCGTCAGGTAGGTACAGCGGTTTATCTGTTAAACACGCAGGTTAGTTTACTTAATATCCAGCCAAGCCATGCATAACATTTAGCCTATAAGCACTGTTTCATTGCTATGCGCTATTCAAGACAACAGTCAGGACAGGGCAATTAGGCAATACGCTGTGTCATTCAGAGTATGTAAAGGTACCGAACAATAAATTTGATTGACAGCAGTCTATTGCCCCTGTGCTTATAACCACAGTTTTCATTGCTATGCACTGATCGAGACTTTCCCTCTCACAACTGTTGTTTTGAACAGCCAATTGCAATGAAATCAGTGGTAAAACGCTTTATGCAAAATATACCTCTTAAAAATTTCTGAGAATGTTGTACTAAAAGAGTCCTCAGCCAAAAAAAAACAAAAAAAAAGAGAGCAAAAAAAAAAAAAAAAAAAAAAAAGAGTAAAATTATATGGCGTAGAGATAGAGAGATAGAATTCAATAAGTAAAGAAGTAGCGACAAATAACTAGACAAGGTCTCTTTACGGAAAAAAAAAGGTGACGTGAACCCTACCTCTCCCCAGAGTAAGTCAAACATCTGGCTAAATAAAGTATCTCGTGCACAGGCATTTGGTGTAACAGGAGGAAATCCTAATCTAAAGTGCCTTTTATGCCGATTGTGTCTACTTCGTAGCACCATTAATTCTTCATCTCTGGAAAAAAATATAAGTTAAACTTAGCCAGATAATATATTTGGTGCTTTGTGGATATAGTTTAATGGACAAATTGGCAATGAATGACTAAACAGATGAATAAATAGATATTGTCACATGTTAAGCTTGATATCTTTTTTATTCACGAGTTTCCATATGATATCGCAAACTAGCGAGTCTGCGAGCGAGTAAGTGATATCATATGGAAAACGAGAGAATAAAAAAGATAGAGTGACCACAGTAAATCCGTTAAAAACTTTAGTAATACTAAATAGCACATTTTTATGCAAATTCCATTGTTTTCTATTGTTTAACTAACACTATTTTGTACTATTTAGTAATTAGTGTTTCACAGATTTACTGTGGTCACTCTATCAAGCTCTTAACATGTAATAATTTGTTTATTACACATTTAGGGTCGATAAAATGACAAAATAGCGGTTTCCAATTCACCGTGAAATGATATCGTGTAGCTTCACTGATCTGGTTTTTATTCACGGCTTTATCACACTGATATTGATCCTAAATGTGTAATAAATGAGAATGAATGAATGAAAAGAGAGAGATGAATGAATGGATGGATAGATTCTTTTGGTTTTACTTACAAAGCAGGGAAGTCATAAGCGAGATATTCTTCAAACTCTCCTTCTTCTTCAAATATTTCTTCCTCAAGCTCAGCTAGTGGGTTTTCTTCATCTGAATCTAGAAACATGAACATGGATAGTTAGACTAAAACTCCTTTCCATTGTTTACCTATTCTTCTTTTTCCCCTCTTCTCCTTCTCCCATTCCTATTCACTCCCATCCCCTTTTCTTCTCTTCATTACCATCTTTCTCTCGTTGCTCCCATCCCCCCTTCTCTTCCCCATGACCCCTGCTTCATAATCTAGTACAGAGTGAGAGAGGGTAGTACTGCTGAGCTAAGTTGAAGTACTTGTAATCTGTTTATTCACCTGATAAGTCCTGATATTCTGACACATCGACTCTTGCTGGCTTTATCTTTGTTCCTTGAACTGTAAGCCTATTGAACGGCAAAGACAAAAACAATATTCATCTCTAGTCAACAAATTAATACACATCAAAAGAAAATGAATCCTCCTTATTTTATGAGGCTAGCGCTTAATAGCCTGTGGTTAATAAACCTGTGGCCCTCCTTCCATGATTAAATTGGAATTTAGAACTTGATTTTCGTGCAGAGGAAAACTGGACTCTAAATGAACTATTTACTTGGTTAATGTTTAGTTAGTTCTCTAAATACAAGTAAATGATCATTTTTCTAGATTGATTGAAGCTTTTCTTACTGCTGTTAAGATAGCTAACTAAAGAAATCTACCTAAATTTTCTCTATAAAGTCACTGAATTTGTATGGGAATCCGATAACAATGTCCGAACTTTTTGGTGACCGTAACACAATCCAATCTAGCGTCGAAAAGGTCGATTGAAAGGACATTTCCTCTTGAATGGATTCTGTACTTACCCTTGTGAATCTAGGGTATTAACCTCTTCCATGTCCTCCAGGACGGAGGTCTGTGGTCGGTAATTGTAAACCCTAGGATCATCTGGGGGAAGGGGTATGTACTTTGTGCCCTGGTCTTGAGGGACTGCACACTGATCACCACATATTCTGGAAGATACAGTACATACAATATATTAGAAATATCAGTAAAAACTGAAGTGAGATGCCTCAAATAAAATTTTACTTTATTCATAAAATAAAAATACTGGCAAAACTATCTAGATTTTGTTGATTTTCTAATTGAATGATACAAGATATTCTTTGAATTTTAAACTTTCACATTTTTTTGATACCCTTCTAAAGACAAACTTTGGCTCATCAAAGTCAAGGCATGGCTAATTCACATACCAAACTGGAATTTAACATATTAGGTTTTGTGGAGGAAGAAAAACTGAAGAACTTAGAGAAAACAATTAAACCTAATTTAAAGAAAGAGGCCTCACAATCTCTTAGCTCACATTAGAGGATAAAACCAGGAATCAAACATGAGACCCCTAGCTTGTAGGCCAGTACACTACTGCTATACTACCCTTGATTCCCTTGGATAATGAACTAAGGAACCAGTAACAACAGACAACAGAACCGTGCAACTCATTACAATACACTGCTTCACTGGAAGTTGTACACTAATCTTGCTCACTTTACAGTAACAATGCTCTCTGTGAGGAACGCATGTATACTCAACAACTTCTGTTGCATGGTTAGCAGGAACGTCCCTCACCCTGGTACCATAACAATGTTATAAGACAAGTAGCAACATTTTCATGCTCATCTTTCTTCACCTTATGGAAACCTGATAAAATGTGAATTCTTTAGCAGTGTGATGAAAGAACATACCTTAAATGAGGAAACTTTGTACACCATTCCCGGCACTCTGATAATAGCTGTGGGCTCCCTATAACAATCAAAACATGACTGTTGATATTGACTAATGAGAGATGAAGCAAACAACCTCTAATAACAAATAGTATCATAAAAATGGTCTAGTTTTGGACAAATAACGTCATACAGTAGACACTGTATCTATATTATATAGTGCTATAAGTTGCAAAACCTCAAGCTACAGTATACATTTAGGCACTAAGCCATATTGAAGACCTTACCATCAAAAAACTTTCCTTCAAACAGCATTTGACTAATCTCATCAAACATCCGCTGCACTGTAGCTGACGCTTGTCTGTCAAATTCCTGTGTTAAAAATATATACAAGTTTGAGAAATTAAATAATAGTCACTGATAGAAACAAAGGCTTTATTTGAAGGATCAAGTTTGATGATGATTTATGATGATTTATGAATTTATATAGCGCCCTTTCTATATGGATATAATCAAAGGCGCTTTACATTGAGTTGTGAATGACTGATTGCTTTTATGCAATTTACAAGCATGAGAGATGGTAGGTATGAATGTTTTCACTTACATCATCATTTCCCCATGAATAAACACTACTTCTGCCAGTTAAATTGCCAGTGTTTGTTGACCATGTGTTTGATGCCCACAGACTATTATTTAGACTGTTAGTGTTATCGGTTGTTGGTGATGAGCAGCCACTGCCATCTGATGTACGATAACTGTTGATAGCCTCTTGTACTGTCTCTAGGTATGACAGGGGTAATGTCTCCTCTGGCTTCTCAGGCAAGGGGTACAGGCTTTCAAACCCACCCCGAGATGAAAAGCCACGGCTGTAAGTTAAACAAAATACAACATCAATAACTAAATAACTACAATAACTACAGCCAGTGAAATATGTTTTTCAATACATTTTGTACTCACAAAACTGAAAAAATTAAAGGTCAAATATCAAGAAACTAAAGGTGTAATATGAAGATTCTAAGATTAAAAAAGTATAAATTGCTTCAAGCTTTGTTACAAATGATGTTATCAGTATATTGCAAGTAATCTTTTCTAATCTTTTGTACAAACATTATCCAAAATAATGTGTACATTTGTACTACAATGTACAGTATACTCCTATAGTATGGACTAAAATTATCTTAGTTAATAGAGTATACAGTATGATTGTCCTTAAAATCCCTCAAAGTTAATTATTTCTTTTAACTTTATTAAGCCAAAGAAGTTCAGGCTATGTTCTGAATACTATCTATTACAAGTAAAGTTAGGTTATAACTGACAATGTTATTTTGACAATTGACTACTGTAACAAAAAATAAATAAATAAATAATAAATAGGATTTAGCGGTGGCATTTTTACAGAGTGGCTCTTCATCCACTGAAATTACGTTTGGAATTTAGAAGTTAATTTTTGTGGAGGGAGGAAACCCGAAATATTGTATGCGTAAGACGGAAACACACTTAGACACCAAGTGAAACAAAATACAGCTGTGGAGGAGCTAACTTGAAGATCATAGAAAGGAGAGTATGTCATATACTTACATGTACATTATTGAAGCTTTCATAGTGCACATGTATCTACCTTATATATGTGTATTATTCATGCTACACTATTAGATACCAAACCAGCCGATAGCTTATGGCAAGCACATGTCAACATATTGTAGACATCAGTTAACCAGACTAACATAATATGGTTTCTAATAGGAAATTCTAGGTTCCCCAGAGAGAGGATAATCTAGAAAGATATGCAGTAGAAATTCTCATTTAACATCTGCTACCAATATGGATAAAGACATACTACATGTAGTTCTTACATATCAGATTGATAAGCATTTTACAATGGGTAGCCAGCTGACAGCAGGTGATAAAGCAAAAGGACACAAAGTCCCCTACAATAAGTAGTATTGTGTAGTTCCAGAAATCATCCATACCCCCCCCAAAGAGGAATCTGAAATGTCCAAAGGGTGGGTGGGTCAGAAAAAGTACAAAAATTACAGAGTTTGTATGCAAGAAAATTGGAATTAAAAAAAAAAAGGTTAAAAGGTTTAGTACCTCTAAAATCATGAAACATATCTAACACATGTTTTTCATTAGGTGTACAAAAACCAGAAAATTTAGCCGCTCATTTTCCAGTCGAGTTCAGCATCTCAAATCATTGATATGTGATGAAGAATGCAGCAAGAAAATGTATAAGATGTTTCGAGAGAAAAAACAGATTCAGGTTATTTTAAACTTTGTTTTTTTTAGTAAAATATACATTATAAACTCAGTTTATTTTGTAGTACAATGTAATTTTAGTGTAAGATTGTTAAATTTGGGATAAGATCAAGAGGATCAAGAGGAGGAAACCTACTTAACTTACGCCACCTTGAATTAAGGATACAATTATAGGTATTTGGAAACTTTTTTCCAAGTTTGAGATGTAAAAACTCTAAAATGAAAATAAACGTTGTAAAAAGTGTTAAGAACCAAGACTTATTTCAAGAGTTTTGAGTTTTGATCTAAATTACAGGGAACTCGCCGACAGATCAATTTGATTTTATACATAGGCGAGTTTGGGTAGGTGAGTCCATTTGTAGGTGAGTTCACTGGTGACTGTAGTGATAGTACAATACAAGCATTAATAAATGTATTGTCACTATGCATTCTCATTCTAGGAGGGACAAATTTTAAATCCACAAAAATCAATGGGCAATTTCTATTAGAATTGAATTCCATTTATTAGTTATTATTTAAATTTTAGTTATTTTTTCCACTTTGGTATCCTAAAAAAAGTGCATTCTGATTGGCTGTTGGAGCAGGGAAATTTTTTCCCCTCCAACCTTGACCTAGTATGCTGGCTGCTTATACCATCAGCACACATGTGTATGGGATAACTGCTTGCTAAACAACAAAACACTTGAAAATGTGCATGTGTAAAAGAAAAAAATAATAAAAATGATAAGGAATTTACGATATAAAGTTGATCTAGATAGGGAAAAACTGTGCCCTCTGCTTTGAAAATGGTCCTATATTCAAGACCTCAGGCAAAGTTTTTCCCAATCTGGACCTCCTGGCTAGTAAAATCATAACCTCTATGTATTTGCCAAGTATATAAAACAAAATAAGGGATATCTCAGAGGTTTTCAAAAGATATTGTACATATGAATTCTTACTAATAAGATGCAATTAACAGTTCATATGTTGAAATTTCAATAAGTTTGAAAAATTTTAATGATTGGTTAACAAGTACCATTGTATTATTTTACAGAATCTAACAATAAAAATTCACTCTTAAGATATTTAATTATCATAATCATTAATCTACACAACAGTATTCAAATCTTTGTTTATGAGCATTCCAGGGCTAATCCTATAATTATTGGTAAAATACCTAGGAATAAGGACATTTGTGTAGACATTTATGCAGTAAATCAAATAGAAATTAAAGTATTCAAGAAATAGATTTTATGTGAAAACATATAAGAGTTAACGTTGCTAGACAAATCAATTGTAAAAAACTTAACTAACACTTGACTAACACTTTCAATACTTCTATCACGACAATAGACATCTACCAAACAATAGAAGCTATTGTTTAAGGAAATCCTTAAAAATCTGGTTTCACAGTTGGAAATGTTTAAAAGATTCAAGGTTGATTGATTAAATAAAAAGCAATTGCAGAAGGTTTTCTTGTATGACTAAAAGTAGTTAGGACTTTATTATTTAACACAGTTGTTTTATAGACCGTTTCTATAATTATATAAATAAAGCAATATTTAAACACAACTTGTCAACCATATCATACTATACAAATATTTTTACAGTACATTGGTTTGAATAAAAAAATCAATGAAACTATTACACATACAAAAATTACAAAAATGTATATTAACCTTCTGTGGTATTTGCTCTATCCCAACAATACATATATTAATAGTTGAAAGTTTAATCATGCAATTCATCTTGTTAGTATAGTTATCATATTATGTACACACACAAACAGCAATATGCAGAAATTCTGATCCTTTCGTATATACACAAAAGTATATCAAAAGTATATTAGAAATTATGGGATGTTATCTCTGATATTTTTTCAGTGAGCCCTAGTAATAGGCAACCTGAAAAAATATCAGCGATGATAATCCATAATTTCTGATATACTTTYGATATACTTGTATATATGTACAAAAGGATCAGAATTTCTGCATATCGCTATATAATATATATACATAGATATATATATATATATATATACATATATATATACAGCCATTTGCAAAAATTATGGCCATTTCAAATATATATACAAGTATATCGAAAGTATATCAGACAGGGCGGGATATCTTTCTTGATATTTTTTTTCAGAAAGCCCAATCATAAGAGAGAGTTGAGGTGACACCTTTATTGATATTATATATAGTGATTACTCAACTCATGATCAGAAATAAACTTCATTTTTAAGGTTTGTTAAAGACCTAATATACTACCTATAGCTGCTAAAGATATTTTACTCATATTTCAATCATGAACATTAATACATGCAGAATTGTATATATTGGCATTGCAGCAAAGTAGGGTGGATGCCCCTTTCCATAACATTAGTACATGCTTTCAAAAACTTCATATTTCACAATGTCATGGAAACACTTTAAATAACATCCACCAAACCCTCCAAACATCATCCCAAAAGAGTTGTTGATAACCAGTGTAACATTTTTAATCATATAAATGATTGTACAACTGAAAATCGCTCTATAAGCACATTTTTATCACCTCGTAGGATCATAATTTACTTGGTGGTTGAATTGAAGTACAAATGAATGAATAAGATTGAATGACTAAACTACAATCTTTGTATTACATGGCCAAAAATTCCATTTTATGAAATAATGTACAATGTAGCAATCTATCATACAGTTTTAATTTGTTTTCTATAACATTTACTAAAAACTAAAAGATTAAAATTAAGTAAGCTTAAAGAAAACATGTTCAGTAAGAAATAGTTATTTCAAACATATGGGATTATAACTACAGAGGCATGATAAACTTCATAAAACAAATCCATAGATCTACATGAGCTTAAAAAAATTTAAGTTTACATTAATTTACTATCATTTCATTTTTCATACAAATTCAGTTAACTTGAAAGCATGATGAAATAAAAAAGATGGACTATTAAAGATGGAGAATTAAAATATAAGAATTCTTGTTTTTAATAAAAACGAACAAACCGTGACAAAAGGTTGTGCATAATTTTAATTACATGACAATATATTTAGATTTCAATAAACTCTTTATAACAATTTCGGCTCTAAATACGTTCTAAATTGAATTTTTTTAACAGTAAGACGTAGATGATACTTAGATTAGTGGTTTGTGTAAAATAACTTATTTTTTTCGGGCCAAAAGCGCGCCAACTGTCGACAGGAAAGTAAAACAAACAAAGAAAGTTTATTGAAAACACAGTGAAAACAAGGTACGAAAAATTCGCCGTTAAAACTCACAAATCTTCTTCCTGCATTTTTCGATTTCCTATCATTATACCAAGTCCAAATAAATCTAAACAGTTTAGTAAAAGTGAGTCATTTGGAGCTCAAAGTCTTGGACCAGAAAACGAGAAGAACGCTGAATGAGTGGACAAACTTTATCAAGGCACCTTCTCACTCCAAAGGCTCACTCCAGCTCAATTCGTTTATCGGTCAGCCATAACTGCTCCAACATAGTCTATGATAAGCTAAGATAGAGAAATAGCAATATTAACAAGAAAAAGGCTTACATTTCTAGTGGTAGCGCTCTATTTGTCATCCCAAGCCAGTATATCCGATGAGGTCCATCCGCGACCACAGATGGAGTCCACCATGACAACACAGAGCGTAACCAACGCCGGCTACTTTGAGCTGACAAAACTAGTCCCCCATACCGAGAATTAGCTCTTAACGCTACCAGTACGAACAGGAACTGTCGATGAGCTCTCGTAAAAGGTCTAAGATTATTCTTAATCAATATTAGAGGAGTTATTTGAAGTCTGGTTTTTGCTCACAACACACGTACCTCTGCTATCTTCCCATAATGCAACACGACATACCACTTCATGAATATGCAAGATTGGAATTCGCAAAAAAGTAAATAAATACTGTTCAAAAACTAATCCCTTTTTCCGTTTAAAGTAGTATTAATTATGAATTTTGGCGGTGGAAGATAAAAGAAGATTAAGAAAAGAAAAAAAGCTTACAATAAAGATTAATTGTATATACTTAAGAAAAGCTTTGGGTTTCCTGTGCTTTTTATTTTATTTTTTTCCGGAACCAGACAAAAAACAGGATTCTCACTTGCCGGATTTGATAACGGGTTTCAGTCGTAACCAAAGCACTACTAAGATCTACTCTGTTTGCTCAAAAGTTTATTTACTTTATTGTTACTTATAAATTTAAGCATAACCTGCATATTTGTAAAAATCTAAATATTTAGTCTCCTTGTCTGCCTCACCGTTGTGCATCAGATGTGCCAAACCTTCAGCTAGCTAAGAGTATACACTCTGCGCAAAACCGTTTCTCCTGATCCTGAAATCGATTTTCGTTTAAAATGCTGAGCACAATTCTGAAATATATATGTTTCTGCTATGGAAATGTTATGCCGCAATCAATAATAAGGAAGATATCAGAGCTTATAAATAGAGTGCATGCCAGATCAATTTCGTTTGTCCTCTCAGTACACTCATTGTAAAACCTTTGATTGTAAAAGACCGTAAAAGAATACGGCCGTTAATCCGGCACTCCCCTGATATCCAAGTTACTGACAAAAGTGACAATATAAGCCTATATTTTAAGCCTTGGGACAAACCAAGTATGTTGCAGCTAGTACAATTATAACAGGACGTTTTCGTGATGGCGCCATTAACCTCTACTATACCAGACTCCCTCGTACACCTTCTTTTGTTCATTTACAGTTAGTACCGATTGTCTTACTATTCTCATGTTGGAACACGAATTTAAATAAGAAAGAAAAGTCGCCAAGCATTATGGTAGTTAAAAAAATTTCCTCTTAACGTTATGGGTCGTTACGATCATATCTAAAAAATAGCAACCCAATCGTGACGTAACGTTAATAGCAAAAATCGCTGTTTATTACCATAGTAACATAACATACATTTCAAGGTTCATAAGAGACTCGATATTGTATGAAAAATTATCCGCCTTTTATAGATTTTGCAAATCTACTAAGCTTTTTTTCTTGCGGTTTAAGAGAATGATTAAAAGATAGTGCTCCTTAGCTTCAAATGAACTTTTTTGCCATACGGCTCAGTTTAACTCTGACCGTCTCCGCTGATCATTTCATTTTCGCTATTAGTTTTATAGTGCACACAGTAAACAAATATATTTTACTTCGGTTCTTATGCTCTTTTGGTTGAATGGCTTTAAAACTTTTATAGCTTATACTAACATTTAAATTATCCTTTTTTTGTCTTAATAATTCTGGAAGTATCTTTTGATTCAGTCATCGTCGTTGCCGTGGTATCAGTGTTTCCAATATACATACTAATACATGCGAATTAAAGTTACGATTTTATATCGAGTTAAAAATAATTCCGGTACGGGGAATTTCTGTCAATAATGCAGTCAAATTTTGACGGCAAACTCTTCGTTGATTAGTTTAGGGTACGGATCGATAGCTTTCAGGGCTCCAATTGTTTGCAAAATAAATGATCTTCAAGCGGTCGTTCTCTCTTCCATCTGTCACAACGAAAATTATGACAGCTTTTGCGAATGGATGTCGCTTGTCTCCTCATTAAGACAGTCTAATCTTAGTGTTTGCATTGTTCTTTCAATAAAACTGAACGAAAGGATAGACCCACTAAAGACATGAAAGACTAGGTGTCAGCTTTTGACCTCCTTAATGACTCTAGTAGAGCTTAATCATCTTTCATACGAATAAAAACTGAAACCCCAATTCCTTTTGGCATCCTTTCAGACTACAATTGCCCAGTATCATTCAGTCAGTTCGAGTTATTTAACTGGATTTTGATACTTCTGATCTAATATCGACATGAAGCCCATTTCAGTGGTTGACTGTCGAGTAGTTGGCATTTAGTTTCTGTCGCACGTCATGGAGAAGAAACTACTGAGCAAACAGGTTTGAGAAACGGAGATTCGAAGAAAAAAATCATAAACTCGTTGACAACATCAGTAAATAATGGCTTATGACAACGATCGGAATAAGTATAAACCCAAGAGTTTTATTCTTCGGCTCGAAACCAAAACGATTTGTTGCTAGCGAACATAAGGAATATTCTAGTGTCGGAAGTCTTTTCATTTTTCCATTTTTTTGATAAAATTCTAACAGCTCTCGCATGCCTTGGGGCAACTTACCTATAGAAAGATGATTTAAATTTCACTTTGATATCTCACTGAAAAATACGAATGTTCGGCTTGAAAATGAAAGTCCGAATTGGGTGAATTACCAAAGTAAAAAGTCAGGGTGTCATTGTTAAGGTGATGAATCATTGCAATTGGAAGGGGAAGAAAGAAAAAGAAAGAATTGTTTTATTCTTTTCGTCTTTTGAAAGTAAATGTGAGATTCAAACTAAAAGTGCTCATAAGGAAGCAGCGACAAAAGCATTGAACACGGTAAAATTCCTATTATCTAAAAACATGAAATCCTACATTGTAGTCAGGACTAAAGCGTACGTACAAATTTGCCTTGATTCAGTGAAAGGGCTAGTCTCTATCAAACCTTTAGTAATAAACAGGAGAATTCAATGGTATTACAACACTTAAATGCGGTAATGAATAATCTAACTGCTTGGCTCATTCCGTGTTTGAATAAATTACGGTATTTTCACTTTTCACTTACCCTCTTAAGATGAACGAAACCTTTTCTACCTCGGGTTTTTTCACTCGCTTTTTAATTCGACTGCAAGAGGTATACATCCAATCTCCAAGAAGTGTCATGATCTTGACGGGTTTACAATCTAGAAACCACCTAGAACTACGTTCATCTTAATCCGCTGTAAACACATCTGTCTCGAATGTTTTACTTCCACGAGTTTCGCATTGAAAGAAATTTCCAACCGTTCGGTTTTAGCCATTCTCTTTTTCCATATTCATAACTTCAGCAATTGTTGTTCACACCACGACATTAAGTGACATTCGCTGACAATTATTGATAACAGAAAATTTTACATCGTCAACCCCAAACAAAGACCTTATATGGATGGCGTTTGCTTCAATAAGGAGAACTTCCAACTCACGAAACAAGAAATTAATAATACATGAATAAGGATATGATATTAGTAACATCAGGTATTCGGTTACACATATGGAATATTTTTCAAAGATATGTGAAACATTTTAAATTTTAAACATATAACCTGATAAAAAAATAGAAATTGAGTATACTATATTATTCATAACAAGGTCTAAATGGTGCTTCAAAGAATACGTATAGAATCAATCAAACACAGGGAGACTATGTTTGTATATGAATTAAGAACTTCAACATATAGATTGATAAATGGACCGTGAGTGGAAAATCCTCTTTCGCCTGCAAAAAATTTAAATATTCAAATGAAAAGTCAGGTGTGATTCGGCCTGGGTATAATTCAATATCCGTCACGGACAGGCTGGCTTTCTATATTCGAATTATAATTTAAATTAAGTCAGCACGAGAACTTACGATAAGGACAGCATATTTTCAAGCATATGCAAATTGGAATAATTAAATTTTGAATGACAAGATCTAAGAAACAGGTGCAAATAGTTCGTTAATCCTTATTTACGCGTACAATTCTCTTCAAATTTGAATTCAAAATATTCCCTTAGCTTTTTCGCGGCAACGTTTTTAGTGTTTTTTTTTTCTACCTTCCTTGTTGTACATTTGTCTTAAGCTGTTGGGTTTTGAAATAAGACAATAAAATATGTAGAATATAAGGATTTTAATCCCTAAATCAGTGATAACAGATAACGGCCGAAGTACTATTCTATTGTTCTCTCAATTAGTCGATCTACAAAGTTACCTGGCTCCTTTGCTTACTAAGTGAGCCGCACCGCCCACATAATTTGGATGTGAATTAATATCATTCATTGGTCACCAGCAAAGAATATGTTATCATGTCGGGTCTTTTATGTAATTTTGTTAAGTATTATGAATAAGAACCTCTCGCGGGAGACAAGAGAGGTGGACTTGGGCAAGTTTCGGGCCGGAGGGGGGATGAATCCATTTTCCCGCTAACAAACACGCATGCGTACCCGAGGGACCCGAGGCGTTTCATGTTTAGAGTTCCTGCCATATCCACAGGAATCCCGCATGAATCAATTAATATATAAATTTTAGTGGCCTAACTTTTAATGATATTCAAATAAATTCTATGAAATAAATAGAAATTTGACATAAAAAGTGTACATTTTTTAGACTTTTAAGCTCATTAGATAATGTGGCAACCACCTTTTTTTAGTGGTTGAGGGAACCTAGCTTCTCTTAACTATTCGAATCATAATAGGATTCCCGTTATGATTTATGAATTTATGTAGCGCTCAACCAAAAAAACAGAAGAATTTTAACTTCTATAATTAAGGGGTTCTTACTCGGGAGGGGAAGAGGGGAGGGGACGGGGGAGGGGTAGGGAGAGGGCGGAATGTGGAGGGGGGTGGAGGTGATCCACTGATTAGGGGTGTGTGACTGATTATTTTTTAATCATGTATTTGAGTTGATTTTACAAAAAAAAGCCCCTTTCTATACAGGTTGCTATGGGCCTGCTTCGAAATAATTACCGTATTTACTCGAATAAGCGCCTCCCCCGATTGATGTTTTGGTAAGACTTCACGGGCTGTTACGTAATATTTATCCAGCGGTTTTCCACAAGAATCCAACATGGCGGCCCATTTTAGTGGAGCCTTACAGCTCACAGATTTAGACGATTTTATCACTCCTTCTCAGGTATTTGTGCTTTGTTAATTTAACTTAAATATAACAAAGCATTAGTATTCTGTATTGCATGGTTTTGTTCTTCTTGAATTTGTTATTTTCGTATTCATTAACTGTTGTTGTTTTGTTTGCCCAACTGACTTGAGTTTAACTACATCACTTCCAAATATGTTTTGTTTTTTAAATGTGGTTAGGAATGCATTAAACCAGTGAAAATAGAGAAGAAACCTGGCTCTCAGGTACTGTGTTTTTCTTTATTATGATTCATAGGTATTACTATAACAAAGTCTAATTATTATGATCCATGCATGTCCAAAAAATCACTTATAAATTTTCCCCCTCCTACAGGGACTGGCCAAAATTAAGATAGAAAGTGACGGAAGCTATGTACAATTATCAGAGGTAAGGCTAATCTTATAACTGTTTTTTTAAATTTCAAGGTACTAATTTTATGATCATGAATTGCACCTGGTACTGTAGGAAAAGTACTGTATGGTCATGGCCAGGATGGACTTTCCATGTTTTTTTTCTTTCTATCATTCTATTTTTATTATACTTTATCACATCAATGGTTTTCATTCTTTCACCATTTTCCTATATTTAATTAGTTAATTAGTTAATTTAATTAATTAGTAGAAGATCCAGGGGTGGTGCCATGGGCTGAGCTGATGAGGAGACTACATCAAACCCTCCTTTGTGAGATTTTAAAAAGTTGCTCATGTTCTCTCTCTCAATAGAGTGAATTTGTAATCCCACTTTGTGAAGTCAAAAGGGACTTAAAGATTTGCTTTAAGACAGCGACGTCTAACTGGAGGTGTAAATAACTTCACTTTGGGGTTTTGCACCTTCAAAGTCTGGTTTCCCTGTGGATGACTTTACTGACAATGTTTTAAATGAATCTCGAATGAACAGAACCCTAAAGAGAAATTATTTACACTTCCGGTTGAAGTCTCCGTGGTAGATTTTGCAAATTTTAAAGTCCCTAATAGCAGCGCAGGGAGGTAGCCAGGAAGTGGGGGGCCAAATTCAAACATCTGCCATTTTGTTTGGGTTCCCTAAATGCCAAACTAAAAATAAAAAGCAGGCATTACATTTATGTCTTAATTTTGCAAAACTTAGAATTAAAATTACTGTATAAATTCTGAAAAGGTGCCATTTTGTTGCCACAAGGGGAAGGGGGAGTGGAGGCATGGCCACCTCGGCTTTCCCCTACCTATGCCATTGCTACCAGCTTTGTCCAGTTGAGGCCAATTTGAAATCCCCTATTTTAAAATCTTGGATCCACCACGGACAGCTAATATTCTATATTCTACACTATTGTATAAACTATACTTCAATGATTGATGCTAATGTAGGATGGAGGGAAAGCAAAGCTAGAGAAAGCACAGATAACATTGAATGATTGTTTAGCATGCAGGTAAATCTTGGTTTATTTATTGGTTTACTGCCAATTGCATCTACCTGTTAACACATGTGTAAACAATTTGTTTTGACGTGACATCAAATGTCAAAGATGATATTGAACTTATTCACTAAAAACATGTGGGATTCAAAATTCCTTGTGAACCTCATGTTTTTTGCATGTACGTAAAGAAGAGAAGGAATCAATGGTATTAATTGATTGACTGATTTTATACTAACTTTTAAATTATGGTTATTTCCCTGTAGTGACCATAGATAACTCATGCAATTCATTTTACTAATACTTTGCTCTACTAGTGGGTGCATAACAACAGCAGAGAGTGTACTCATTACTCAACAAAGCCAGGAAGAACTTTATAAAGTCATACAGAATAACACAGAATTATTAAAGGTAAAATTATTGAAAGCCATATTATCAGGTTACTAGGCCCTACTTATTAAGCGAAAAAGAAATCCCCCTCCCCCCTCTTCCACCCAAATTCAGACCCGTTTTCACTATGCTATATTGAAAAATAAAGATTAATAGATGACATTCATATCGTTAATGTTCATAATATTTTACTTATAGTCAGGAAAACTTCAAGATTTCAAGACAATTGTCGTGTCTATATCACCTCAATCAAGAGCATCAATTGCTGCAAAATTCGATCTCACAATTGATCAGGTACAGTACTGTACTGTGAAGTATTTTTAAAAGAAAAATGAGAAACAAAAGTATGGAGTGCCAATCCTGCCAAAAGGGACCTAAATTTTTTTTAGAGGGATTGAAATTTTTTTTTTTTTGGTTCAGATCAATTATTTTTACAGCTGGGTGGAAATGTAAAAATAAGGTGTTCAAATTTGTATATTTTTTAGGCTCAGTAATCGCTAGTGAGTTCTTTTTACATTCTTGCTAGAGAGTTTTCTTTATGACAAAAATCTTGCTAGCCAGTTTTTGTGCTTTAATTTCTCATTAGCGAGTTTTTTTCATGCTTATTCTCCCTAGCAGCATGTATATTGTATATAAAAAAATTTCAGCCCCTTTCAATCCCTTTTGGCAGCAATGGCATTCCATACAAAAGTATTGGACATTTCATGTTGTCATTCTCATTGAAATGTTTACATAGAGAAGAGGTTCATGATGTACAACCCAATGGATTACTTTTAAAACAAAGCTGCCCAAAGAACTTTGTTTTGATAGAATAATAATGAAATGTCTAACAATGTGTCTCTAGTTTTTCATTTAATTAAGTTTTTATTCTTTTTATTCTTTTTTACAGACAGCAAAGAAACTAACAAGGTTTTTTAAGCAATTAGGTTAGTATTACCTTTCATAACATATGTTGTCAACATTTCATAATAGACATCCTTAGGTACAATATTTTCCTAAACCTCTTGGGCCACATGTTAACCTTGAAAATATGATTCAAACTAATTGTTTAAATTTTATTATGCACAATCTTGTCAGGTACAGCCATGAAACAAAGAAATTAGCCTGGGGAAGGACATATTTTGGTCTAAAAATTAAAACTAATGAGTATTATTTATTATTATTATCAATTATCTTTATCACCAGGAGTGCACTATGTATTCGACACAACTTTTTCAAGAGATTTTAGCCTCATTGAGAGGTAAAATTTATCCTTGATTTTTAAGAGCTAAATACTATATAAAGATACCATATCTGTTCACTATGTACTCGTTTCTGAAATACCAAAGAAAATCTCACAACATCTTTCTATATTAGATTGGTGTCGGAGAATTAATTGATTGAGCCAAGAGAGCATAAATAAGAAAGGGAAACTACTTAATAACATGTGCACCATGTAAATTCCCGGTTGGGCTATTTTTAGTAACCGCATGCAGTTTAAATTTTGCATTACCCTACTCCTGTGCATCATTAACTTGCGCCTGCACTCTTTACATTTTGTTTTTAGGAATCAAAACTTACAATAAATGGAAAGAGCACATGCGCGCAAGCTGATGACACACAGCTAGGAGTAGAATAAGCTTGGCCAAATTTAAACTCCATCTTGTTACTAAAAATAGCCCAACCGGGAAATTACATAGTGCGTGTCTTATGAAGTTTCCCCCTTTTATTTATGCTCTCTTCATTGAGACTAAGGCTAAATCTTGTTTTACTGATAGTCAAAAAGAGTTTATCAGGAGATACAATGCTAGACAGACTGGAGAAAAAGGCACAATTCCTATGTTGGCATCAGCTTGTCCTGGTAGGTTTTCCATTTATTTATTTTTCATTTCATTTCGTTTCATTTCATTTCATTTCACCTCACTTCACTTCACTTCACTTCACTTCACTTCACTTCACTTCACTTCACTTCACTTCACTTCACTTCACTTCATTTCATTTCTTTCCATTTCATTTCATTTCATTTTATTCTTTAGGCTGGGTTTGTTATGCTGAGAAAACTCATGGCAGTTATGTTTTACCATATATAAGGTATGCTAGCTGTTTTTTCACACCAACAATTTGGAACTCTGTGCCAGTTACTCTGTCTGCAGCCTACTTATATCTATATGTCTGTTTCTCAATCTTCCGGCCTGCTCGCTATGAAAGAGTGATAGAAAAGTAAATGTCAGTGCTCAATACATTTGATGCATGTTATTTATAAATGCATCAGAATAAGATTATTTGTATCTTTTCAAGCATATCTACATTTACAAAAGATAGAATTAATACTGAAGGAAATTACATGTGCTTCAGTCTGTTGCTGGAAGCTCTATAGTATAAAGTGGATGTTTTTTTTATTTGTAGTACAACAAAATCACCTCAACAAATCATGGGTTCCTTAGTCAAGGATCATTTAGCCAGCAAGTTGGGGAAAAGGTAAAAACTTTTATCTAATCTCTTAATGATCTAAACTTATACTCTTTCAAAACCATGCTCTCTTTCCTTCCTGTAATTAGTGAACTCAATAGTCCACTTCCAATATTTGCTTCGTTTGTCACACACAAAGGTTTTAGTACAAGGCTGCATGTGAAATTAAATTTATTCTTTTCTCCTTTCACGAATCACTGAGCATTATGCATGAAGCCTTGCATTGAAACCTTTGTGCAAGACAAGCAAAGCATATTGCCAGGTTCAAAACAAGGAACAGAGAAGCTAAGACCAAAAGGTATTCTGGGAAATGACAATTATTCTCTGATGTATTCGTGCAATGTAAAGCGCATTGAGACATTGTGAAATGTGCTATAGAAGAACCCCATTATTGTTATTATTATTCATTTCAGATACACATATGTTAAAAGCCTCCATCCTTTCTGTCAGCGCAACAATTTCTGAACATTCCACTAGTTGTATCACTAGATGCATCTAATTAGCATACTAGCACCAAGGTGGTGAATTGAACTCATACCATGATTATGTAGCTATTCATATATGATGAATAGCTCATGATCTAATAATATCTTACTACTATTTCAGCCCTGCCTTGATATACCATGTGTGTATCATGCCATGTTTTGATAAGAAACTAGAAGCATCACGTGATGATTTCTACAATGATATGTACAGAACAAGAGACGTGGACTGTGTTGTCTCTACAGGTAGGTAGTTATACTAAATAATATACCAAGGGCTTCAAGTAACGGCCAGTCTTCGGACAATGTCCAGCCAGAAATGGAACTTATCCAGTCAAATCTTTGCATTGCTTGTCATTTTGACCAGTAACTTACCCCAGAATTGAGGCATGGCTGAGGTAAAACTAAGACTTCACAATTCATTTGAATACTCTTGAGAATAAGATTCTTTGTTTGAATCGGATTAAACAAGTAGTTACTTAATATGCACAAAGAAATAATACTTTTAAGTAAAAAGAATAACACATATTTCTGAATTATAGGAAAATGATGGATAATTTATTACCTTATTTTTCACCACAAACATAAACGTTTATACATATTTGATTGATTTTTTTTCAGTTGAGGTAGAAACCATGATAGAGGAACACAACCCAGACTTCAAGTCATTAGCAGATGCAGAAGTTGATACCATGTAAGAATTAAGGCTATATTACAGTGAGGACACTCAATCCCTGAACACTTTGAGCCTTATTTTCTCAACTCCCTACTCATTCAAACCCTCTAAAATGAAGAATTTGGTTCAATAATTGCCTTATTTTATAATGACCTCACATCAAAACAAACTATTGTTTTAACACTAGGGATCATGGTCGCTTGTGGGGGATGGAATGACAACAACACATCTTAAATCACAATGAAATTTGGTTTATGAGCTGGTGAAGGCAAGAACAACTAAATATTGCGCTAAATATCTTGAAAGAAGAGAATTAACTTAAATTTAGCCTAAATTTCTATCATTTTAGCCGATGTAAACAAACCGTGATGTCATTATGAAATAGGGCAATTAAGTGCTCAAAATAAATATTATTTTCGATTGATTGGATCAAGCGATGATTACAGTATGCATGTATTTTAAGAAAGTGACAAAGAAAGTGCTCATGGTTTGAGTGTCCTCACTGTAACCTTTATTATAAATAGGCCTCACATCCATCTTTTTTAGCTCCACTTAAAATAGAAACAAGATGAAAAGTCAGAGGTTGCAAAAATGTATATTCTAAATATTTAAATACTCCTTCTTTCTGTAGGTTTTCTAGTGTGGATAATAATGAGCTTGTTGGTCATTCTGGAGGGGGATCAGTAAGGAAAAATGAAATACCATATATAAATGAGAATTACAATGCTGTAACAATACTTGCTTTTTTTAGTTTACACATAAAAAACCACCTACCCCACTTGGCTGTTCTTTGCAAGCAAAGAATATTCTGTGTGCAGGAAACCCATGTGTTGTTTCCAAGCGAATACTCAATATATATGCTTACTATTTATACTGAACGGAGGGTGATAAACCACTTTACTTTGGGCTATTGGTTTCCCATTTCAGACCACATGTCATTCCCTAGAGTATTATTTCTTTGTTTAATGGTTATGCATGAGAAAACACATTCATCTGAATATGGATGCAAATCAAACAAGGAATCTTTTTCTCAAGAAACTAACACTTGATCTGAAATTGGAGAACATTATGTCCAAGGTAAGGATGTTTATTGAAGATATTCCAGGGAGTCCTTGTTTAACCCCTCAGTACTTAGTTTCATTATTCTGTGTGTTTTTTCTCTACAGGGTGGGTTTTTGGAGCATATATTTAAACATGCAGCAGAAGAGGTATTAATAATAATATTATGGAATGAGAAAACTGTTTGTTACTAAAATTTGGAGTGTTTAGTGTGGCGTGGTTTAGTTTATGTATGAATTTACAACTTACAATAAATCGGTTTTCTGGTCAAACACAAAGCATTTAGTCAAGCCTACAAGGTTCAAATTTGAATAATCCTTTGAAAATGCCTTGCAGCCTTTATTTAGTGTTTCGTGCTTGACCAGTGATTCGGTTTGTGGGCAGTGGTTAATTCACTAGACAAGCTATTCCTAATGATTACTTTTATTTCAGCTGTTTGACCAAAAGGTTGAGAGTCTTACTTATAAAACATTAAGGAACAAGGACTTCAAGGAAGTTACTTTACAGGTAATGGCTGGTTGTCATGGAGTCTGACGTCACATCCTTCCAGTGTGCATTTCATTCGGTGCGCGAATTGATTACCCGGGGGGTACTCCCATATATGGACTATACGGGGGCTGAACAGGGTATGGATTTTCGAGCTTCTTGTCATTAACAGGGTATGCAATTTCACTCAAGTTCCAAGTTCTTCCTGAGTTTCCTGTCATATTCAGGGTTTCTACTTTCGTATTTACCGAAACTGGTCATTAAGGTCGAAAAAAAAAAAAAAAAAAAAAAAACACAATACGCGAGATGGCATGATAATTGAAACAGGAACTCAGTGCAATTAATTCTATCTTTTGTCTTAATAGAAACAGGGTCTACAAATTTGAGGTTTTTTGTCATAAACCGGGTATTCTTTTCAGAATCCCAGCGGAACACCCCTACCCAAATCCTGGCGGAGTACCACCCCACCCCCCCGGGGGGTTGATTACCCCATGGATATACTTAGTTAATGTCACACCTTGTACATGATTCAGGTTGATGGGAAAGACGTTCTCAAGTTTGCAGCTGCTTATGGGTTTCGCAATATTCAGGTATGGATAAGTTCTCTCATAGTCTACATTGATGCTTGCCGATGGTATGGCAATAGCATCCCGAATGCTAGCCGATAGTTTCAAGTTTCGAGTGAAATCATTATAACTTGTTGATGTTGCTGCGATGGCACTTTGTTACCTTTCCAATGGTATGGCGATAGCATCCCGAATGCTACCCGATAGTTTCAGGTGACATGATAACTTATGGCGATATTCATTGTTCCAACTCACGTAAGGTACCGTTGCTATGTCCCATAAACTCAACAAATTAACTAAAATAACTCAGAATTCAAAAACCTGATCGCGGAAAATTGGGAATATAAATTGTTTCAATTGTGTACTGTATGTCCTATGAAAATTGTCTCGTAATCCTCGTTTAAGAAACAAACTAGTGTTGTTACTTGGTCCAAGAAAGATAGTTGTATAATTAGTGACAGGAAGTCAAAGTAAAACAAAAGAAAACAATGGAATAAGTGTCTACTACTTTGTAAAACTATGCTTACTAGGCTTTCATGGGCCAAGTAAGATCACTCTATGTAGTTTTTTGTGGGGTAAAAGTTTCATTAATTGCAATGGGAAAACTACTGCAACGGAGATTGATATCATCAGTACCGATAGTTTCTGGTAACATCCTTATAGCTTGCAACCTATGACATTCTGATAGCTTGTCAATTTTTGCAGGGGGCATCGTGAGTATCCTGCCGACGGGGTACCGGTAAACGATACTTTTGCTGGTCATTGCAGTTTACATGTTATTAGCTTCCCCACAGGTTGCCGATAGCATCCCGATAGTTAGCCAATGCCTTACCAACATTTCGAAAGATTAAAATTAATATAATGAATATTTTTCTTTTTAATTTAGAATTTGGTGCAAAAGCTAAAAAGAGGAAAATGTACTTATGATTTTGTAGAAATCATGGCTTGTCCTTCAGGTAAGCAGTTTAACACTACGTACTTCGCATTACTTGATCATTTACTCATATTGTATTGATGTGTAACTGCAACAGGGTGTGTGAATGGTGGTGCTCAAATACGACCAAGACAAGACGAGTCATCCAAGGATCTTATTAGTAAAGTGGACAATTTGTATAACTCGTTAAGGTATGACAAACATTCTGAATCATAAGCGGTAATATACTAGGGGTGGTTGGGGAGGGTTGACTAGTATGCCACCCCCTAGCCTGCGTGGCGGCTCTTGGGGAGGAGGGGGAGGGGACCAATAGAATTACGCGCACGAATTTGGGCGCGAGCACCCAAAAAACCTGGGGTTTGCCGGCAGGCTCTCCTTCTTCCCCTCCCCCCTCCCCAATCCCCCTCCCCCAGAGCCGCCAGGCAGGCTAGCCACCCCCCATTTCCTTGCATTCCTGCCGGTAAAATCTATGTAATAGTCACCCCCTTATTAAAACCTTGATCCGTTATAGGATAAACCCATTCATGTCTGAAGTTTCTCTCCTGTGCCTCAGGGTTTTTCTCTCGGTTCTTCTGTCTTCAATTTAATCTGGCGCCGATGGCTTTAATCAGAAGCCTCTGGCTCAGAAGACTGAGAAATCATTCCACTTATGTTCGACATCAAGAAAATTATTATTTTTTCCCTTCTAAATCTCGTTGTATTATAACTAACGTGTCTCGTATCTTTTGTACTTTATCAGCTCACGAAGTCCCAATAACAATCAAGCGGTAACAGAATTGTACAGGTAAACATTGAAGATTTGTTTTGTTTTAGTTTGCTTGTTATTATTAAATGAGTGAGCTCCATAAGATGCATTAGAAAAACAGAAGAGACTACTAAAAGAATTCTTTATTCTATATCTTGGTTATGCCTTTTCTATATTCTAGTCTGCTTCGTAGACCCGCTTTCGAGGTTTTATCTTCGCGCGGCTAAACTCCACAGGAAACCCACCGCTCATGAGACAACGCCACCCGCATAAAACCCCAAAAGCGGGGCCACGAAGCAGTTAAGCTAACACTCAAATTCTCAACTTTTGATTTTTTTCTATTTAGCACGTGGTTAGGAGGAAGGGATACGGAAAAGGTAAAATACATGTCCTGTAGTTAGTCCTGACGTTGTTTACATAATTGCTTTTGGGCTACCTGTGTCTTGTCAAAAACTAACTGAACTCGAAAAGTCGGGGAGTCAGGATGGCGTGGTGGTAAAACGCTCGCCTCTCACCTCTGAGGTCCGGGGTTTGAATCCCAGCTACCCCATGTGAGTTGAGTTGGTTGGTTTTCTTTCTGACTCCGAGGGTTTTTCCTCCCTCCTCTCAAATCAACCCTAACTAATTCAAACTGGTTAGAGTTGTGCTACATGGACTGTATAGCGGCTGTCAGAGGCGCCTTCACGTGCTTTCATTTCGAACCGGTTTAGCTGGCCTCTGACGTACGGTTTTGATTAGCGATGACATGCAAGTTTTAAAATGCCCTAATGACGTGGCGCTAACTGAGAAATAAGATGGTGTGGGGGGATTATGAGAATAAATGAAATATTGAAATTCAACTTTTGGCCTAATCTGGATTCTAAACCGGCCGCCCTCAGGATACATAAAATGGGACAGTTTGCTTATCTTCCCTAATCTCTCTTAACCCGCAATCCCAACAACTGAAGGGGGGGGGGAGGGGGAGGTTCTCATCTCAATATTAACTAATTGCAAGTTTAGACCTCATAGTAGGCCTAACTTTGCTTCCTTTTTCTACAGGCGCACTCTCTTCTCCACACGCAATACCACGAGGTAGAAAAGATTAATAACGCTCTCAACATCAAATGGTAATAATACAGATGTTTAATGAAAGCAGATCAAGAATCCTGAAGTTGTAAAGACGTGTGCGACAGACATTAATACATCAATCTCCTGTGAAAATCCGATTCATTATACCCATACCCAGTTAGACATGAGAAGACTTATTTTATGGACACAGCCGACAGTAGAGTGCTGACACTAAATCCGTGAAACAAATACTAATTTTTAGCACTAAATAGTGATAATTAAACAATAGAAAACAAAGGATGCTGCATGAAATAGTACTAATTAGTACTATTTAACGTTCACGGTTTTAGTGCGTGCACTCTATTATAACAAGATATACAGCAATCTCATGGATAATCACGATTAATATGTTCAGGGTTCGTCAGTCACGTGGAATCTATGCTTTAGGGTCATTCAAATATATTTTATGAAATATTGTAAATGTTTTATCGATGTAGTAAATAACCTCAATCAGTCATTCAATCATCGATTCACAACCAGAACACCAACACAACTGTTTTGATTTTCAGTTTATTTTAATCTTCTAATCATCACATTATCTAATAATCAATTATCAATTCTCGACACATTTGTGACAAAACGTCTGGAAATATCTTGTAGTTTTACTTTCGATTTTAATTTTTGTTGCTCTTCTGTGAGAGATTAATCTTGTCACCGAGGCTTAGAGCCATTCCCTGTTAAACAAAGAATTATAATTTTAGTACATCCAGAGAAGCACTTGTAAGAGAGCCTATGAATGCGGGAGTGGTAGTGAAACAAGTTCTCTTCCTAAAGAATTCTTCTAGGGCGCGCAACATTGTGTCTTTCCCTAGCACATCAACAGGCCACGCATTTAAAAGAATTTTAATTTTCCATCGCGCGGCAAATTTGGTCTTACGCCGGCATTAAAAATAGTTTTACACTATTTATTTTATTTCTCCCATAGTTTTTTTTTGTTACGTGTCAGGTATTTTTGCGCGCACCAAAATCTTTTTACGCTACTATAGTATCCTTAACCCAGATGCAATGCAAAAGCCCCAAGTTACCATGTTTTTAGCCGACCTTAGGTTTGCGCGCACTTCAGTCTTTATCTCATAAAATTGACATACGAGTTCAATGCTCACCTGACTTTTAGCCCTGATGCGAACGTGTCCAGTTACACCAGTCTGATCATGCAGCTTCTCGATGCTTACATTGGCCAGCGCGTCTTCACCAAAAATACTGCGCGCATACAGGTTGGCTGCCATGAAGCCACAGGACCCTTCCAGAGCCTGAGGAAATAATAGACGTTAAGGACATGAGAAAGTGATGTTGGCTATTTTGGGGATTGGGGGGTGGGGGGTNGAAGGGGGAGGGGGAAGGGGGGCTGTGATTGCTGATATAATTGTTGTCATTTTTAAGTGGAATTTTTTTCTTCGCGAATTGGATGACTTTTTGAAAACGGAATAAAAAATTCCATTTCAAAAATTTCTGAATACCTGTGGACGGGGCCCGAGTATGAGAGAATTCAAAACTGGAGAAAAGTAATGACGAGAAAAGTAATTTCATAAGCGGTATTACCTTTTCAGGAGTAAGACACTGCATGTTGGTGCATCTGATCAGGTGGTCCAGATATTCTTTCAGGTCAGCAATGTTCGTGTTTACCGTCACCTGCAGAAACAACAATGACCAATCAGAGGTGAATCATAAATCAATAAACAGAAGTTCAATGCAATAAAGAGATTAGGGCGCGTATCTGTTTGGAATCTAGCAGCGTACGTCACAGGGAGTCCAAAATTACACTTAATCAATACAAAATGCAATCCTGACAACTTATTTTCATAGTTTCATTTTCTTTGACCGTGTAGAGACAGTGCAGTAGCGAGTAGCCAGTATGGAAGACGCTTTTAGTTATTTTTCTCTCTAAAATCATTATACGAATAGACAGACCTCTTTAGCTTGGGCGTTTGTTTTCTCATTTCAGACGACGTGTCATTCCTTTGAAAATAGGATTCTTTGTTGTTTTTTTGCATCCAAACAAGGAATGATACTCAAGAGAATGACAAGTGGTCTGAAATTGGCAAAACATCACACCCAAGCTACAGAGGTCTATTGGGCTCCAAGTGCGTGGGTGAGTGTCAAAGCTACGTAGCACTGCGCTTGCCGACCCGCGTCAAAGAAAGAAAAACATTTCAGAAAAGTTTTTTTCGCTGTAAAATACCTTGTTTTCCCATTCGAATTCGGCCCACATTTGTCTGAATTCAGAGTCGGTACAGGAAGCAGGCAGGATGTAATCCATGATATCAATGTGAATATCATTAAGAACAACGCAGTTACGATCACCACTACCACCGCTAACATCATAAACTAAAGGAACACCAAATGAGGATCAAATCAGTGATTACATCTTGTTATGGTTATTCACCCTCGCAAGCACAGGGGTGGTACAGTTTCAACAGGGTCGAACTGGAAGCAATGAGAGTGGGGGGCAGGGAGAGGGTAAGATGGGGAACCTTATCTTGGTTAGTTGCATCAAAACATCAGTGGTTTTAGTTAACGAGATGTGACAAGACACTCACCGATATTGCCAAAGATAATTCCATTTTCAGTCGAAGATACCTTCACGTTGGCCTGAAAATTAAACGATTTTATGCATAAAGTTACAGGGCCTTGTCTGATTGACTGCCAGGAAGGGAGAGGTGAGAGACCCAAGATCGCTAACATGGTGCATTGTGGTCTAGCTTGGGTACAAATATATTTTGTTCATCATGTGAACATGATGTATATGGTGTTGTTCGTATCCCAGATAGACCCAGCTTGTTGATGGGAGTCAGAAAAGACCTACAGTATATGGTTACTGGTGGACATGTTGATCTTACCTTGATGTTGGAGAAATCATTAGGGCCCAGTAGGATTGGTTGGGGCTTCTCCACCAGCTTCAAATCACCTACCATCAATAATAATAATAATAAACAAACAAATTACAATTAAACAATAAAAATGAAAATCTTGACTTACCCAAGGTAGCAAGCTCTAGAGCCACGTTCTGCAGGGTATCAGCGGTTTGATTGACAATCAGTACATCCAATACAATGTCGTATTGATTGACGTTGACATAAGCCTCAGCATAGACTGGATCTGAGAAACCTGTCAATTGGGCTACCTGTGGTATGGAATGAAATCATAATATCAGGATATTGCTCTGTCGCTACAGAATGCTTTCCCATTTCATATCATCATTCTCTTGAGATAATTTTTTTTTTGAGTTTGAACGATACTTATAAGAATGTAAAACATTATGCACAGTAGGATTTTCATGACAGCCATGGGGTGAGACAGGAACAGTGCAATGTTCTTGGCTGACGAGAGATTCGATCTCTAAAGGAGTAAATTTATATTATTTTGCCCCACGACATGGCTGATGTTAAAATCTCCTACGAATAAGAATAAAAGAAATTAACTTTTCCTAACATCTGTTCACTAAAAACATGTTTCTGCCAAACAGGATAGTCTGTTATTGATACTGATTTATTATCTGCCCACCTTGTTGAGTTTTGAGCTTTGCAGTTCCTCATCATTCTTCAATGATGATGTTCCAACAGCTTGTGACAAACTTGCTGCAAACTGATCCTGAAGACAAAAGGTAAAACAGTTCAAACTACAGTAGAACCTCTATAACAACCAGAAGAAAGTGTAATATAGAGGTTAGGTCTTTGAGACAAAGGATGTATAGGACCTAAATATCTGTTCGTAATGAAGATATCCCTAAGGTGAGGTTCCACTGTAATTACAGCACTCAACAGGTTTTTCATTATAATATTCTTAATATCATTAATTTATTATAGGCTTTGTCTTACAGCAATAAGACTATTCTAGTTATATACCACTTCCACTTGCACAAGCCTGCATAGTGTTGGCCCCCCCCCCCCCCCCCCCCCCCCCCCCCCCCGCCCCCCCCCCCCCCCCAAAGCACTGCTATGCAGGCTAACATGCACTGGCTGATTTTCTTGATAATTTTTAAGTATCATTTGTTAACCTTTGGGACTCAGAGAATCAGCTGTTATTAAATAAATTTAGTAAATAAGGAAAGACAGTCTGAGAGCTTTGGTGGTAAAAGAAGAAAAAAAAATCTACAAAGCTTTCGCTGTTGTATCACAGCGTGGGACAATCATAACAGAGGTAGGCTTCAAACTAGGCGAAAGCCCAAAGATGGAATTAGAATTTAGAGGTTGATTTTTGAGGAAGGAGGAAAACTGGAGAACCCGGAGAAAAACCCTCAAAGCACAGGAAAGAACAACAAACAACTCTACTCACATACGACAACGAGATCGGTAGGACTCGAACTCAGGCCGCATTGGTGAGAGGCGGCGCATTAGCAGCGCACACCACCGGTGCTTCCCAGAAATTTATATCACATGGATCATTTTTGGAGAGTGTGTGCAAAACGTGGTTAAAATGTGCTCTCTCTCTCTCTCTCTCTCTCAAGCATTCATAGGTCAGCCCACAAAACTTGTTTAAAATAATGTGCATGTTTGGGGAATTACCAAGAAAATAGCAAATGCAAGACCATAGCATATAATCTAATGGGGAAGTAATAGAATAAGACTAGCTGGGCAGGTTACCTCAGTGATTCCACTTTCAGACTTGGAGAGTAACGTCAGGAATGATATTGGGTCATCAGCCTGGATTGCTATCACTTTATCTGCACTAGCCTGGAAAAAAATGCATAACTATTAATATCACTATACTAAATGTTAGCATAAAGCAGAGGATGTTATAAAAATAGGTGAACAGCAAGCAGACATGAGACAATCAAAATGGTGGTAAAACAAACCCGACCAAACTCTTGAACAGGAAGTGATTTTGCTCAATAGGACGCCTTCTGTCATTGGCTAAAAATTTTCAAAATATATAACGAGCGACGTGATTGGAGATCGCCGTATAGTGCCAACGAGGATCAAAATGGACCAAGTAATGTGATAAGTCAGTGTGTTAGCAATATCCAGTATCGAAAAAAGAGCAAAAACACTGACTTATGGAATTAGCCCATGAAAGACCTTAAATACAGTTTTTCCTTATCCAGACCTCCTGGCTGGTAAATAACCTCCATTTCCTTTAGTTATAATGTAAACTCACCTTGACTTTCTGGTCATCTTCCATGCGTTTATTGGCGTCAAGCATGGCTGACAGTGATTCACGACAATCTGAGGTGAAGATCTTTTGCATGAGTGGTGTACGCTCAGCCACAGCACGGATGCACATAGAGATACGGTCTACATCATCATCGTTGATAGCCTAAAAAACAAACAAGCAATGAGATGTACACAATAACTAGAGCTAAGAACATTATTATCATTCATCCAATTCATCATTTACTAACTTTATCAGCACCATCATCATCATCATCATCATCATCAATATAATCATCATCATTTACTAACATTAGCTATCAACTCTAAATATATTATCATCATTATTTAACAACATTAGTTACCATCATCACTGATTGACCCATCATCGTAAGAGATGATGATGATGAAAGTGATGATGATGATGAAGGTGATGATGATGGTGGTGAAGTTGATGATGATGATGATGATGATGAAGGTGATGATGATGTTGATGATGAAGTTGATGATGATGATGATGTTGATGATGATGGTGAGGGTGATGTTGATGATGAAGTTGATGATGATGATGTTGAGGATGATGATGATGAAGGTGAAGGTGATGATGATGTTGATGATAAAGGTGATGATGATGATGATGATGATGGTGATGATGTTGATGATGATGATGAATGCCCTGATGGTGGAGGAAGAACAAGCAGCAAGAAAGCAAGAGAAAAGAGATTACTACATATATCAGGGGCAGTAAATACAGTACCTTGTTAGGCAGGCCTGATTTTCCAAGGTGCAGGATACTTGACATGATGAGCATGCAGTTGGCACAAAACGTCTAAAAATAATACAAACACATGAGGTCAGCGCACTTGTATGACAAGAATGTGTGGGATTGTCTCATCCCATCCTTGCTATATTTTAACTGCATATGACACATAAATCAATATTTTCAGCATTGATTTTACATGAATTGAAAAGTTGAATGGTAAAATATTTTTATATGATTTGAGTGATACATCTCATAGATGTCCAGGTTTATACTTCCAATATGTTAATGACGTGACGTCAAAGGAGGAATTATTAAATCTACAAAACTTTTCTGGGACAGTAGAGTATTCTGTATAAAACATCATCGTCTTACTCAGGGTTAAGGTTATTGGAAGTTTGTTTTCTCATAGACTTAATCATTGATTCAATTTACAAATGATAATATATAAACTCAAATGTCTCCTAATGATCAATGTCTTACTCATTAACATTATTGGAAGTATGAACCTTGATATCTTCAAGATGCATCACTCAAATCATATGAAAATATTTCACCATTCTACTATTTACTTCATGTAGAATCAATGCTGAAAATATTGATTCAGGTGTCAAAGGCACTTAAATGTGGAAATGTAGGATCCATGGGTGGAACAATGTAACGATAAGGATATGGCTGGAATCATAAATTTAAAAGGTCTAGCTAAGCTACTTACATTCTTCTTGCTTTCTTCATGTTCAAGTTCCAAGTAACGTAAAGCTAGTTTAGAAAGTGTACCAGCGATAGCAGCACCAACAAAGAACTCCCCATCCATCAAGTACTGACGAAGAGGAGGTCTACAAAAGAATACATTTCAATCTTACTGTCCTAACATGCAGTATCGTGAACACTTCCAAAAGTTTTGGATTGCTTTTTGACATCTTTTTGACAAATTTTAATTAGGTATCAGTGCTTCATTGTTTATCAATGTTTTGATATCATTACATTGTCTTACGAACTCCGTCTATGAAAACAAATGTAACTAGTGAAGTGGGTGCAATATAGAACATCTCTAGATTGGGTAACTAGTGAAGTGGGTGCAATATAGAACATCTCTGGATTGGGTAACTAGTGAAGTGGGGTGCAATATAGAACACTTCTGGATTGGGTAACTTCTGAAGTGGGTGCAATATAGAACATCTCTGGATTGGGTAACTACTGAAGTGGGTGCAATACAGAACATCTCTGGATTGGGTAACTAGTAAAGTGGGTGCAATATAGAACATCTCTGGATTGGGTAACTAGTTAAGTGGATGCAATATAAGACATCTCTGGATTGGGTAACTAGTGAAGTGGGTGCAATACAGAACACCTCTGGATTGGGTAACTACATAGTGAGGTGGGTGCAAAATAGAACATCTCCGGATTGGGTAACTACTGAAGTGGGTGCAATACAGAACACCTCTGGATTGGGTAACTAGTGAAGTGGGTGCAAAATAGAACATCTCTGGATTGGGTAACTACTGAAGTTGGTGCAATATATTGTGCTTATCGTTACCTTTTCTCTTCACTCTGTTTTGCAAGTCCTGGAGTGGACCCAGGCTGTGAGAATGCACTCTGTGTAGCATAGGTACCATCTGCAGTGACCAGCCGCTGCCCTCCTCCTCCTGCCGCAGGGGCTTCCTCCCCAGCTGATACAAGAAAAAGGACAAATAAGTCAACAAATAGTGTTGATATCATAGGATCTTGGGCTAATCAAGGATGGCCAGTGCTATGCTGTGCTATTGTGTTCGTCCCTCCTCTCTGGGGTGATGTGTTACATATGTGAGTAGAGTTTATTGGGTCTTTCCCTTGATTAAAAGGTGTTTTTTTCCCAAAGTTCTCCTGTTCCCCTCCCTCTACAAACCCAACACCCTGTATACCAATTTGACTTGTGAGTTAGATGAGCCCTGACTCCGATAAGCCTAGATGTTGTTTCAGGATTTTATCTGTAGGTTAGATGTGCCCTGACTTAGATAAGCCCAGAAGTTGTTTTAGGGTTTGATCTGTGAGTTAGCCATGCCCTGACTTAGAAAAGCCCAGATGTTGTTTCAGGGTTCTATCTGTGAGTTAACTCTGCTCTGACTTTGATAAGCCAAGAGGTTGTTTCATTTTTCAAGAAATTTGAAGGATTAACTGTTTGTTTATTGTTAGCTGTAAAAGCAATATAATATTAACGAACCCTTCTATTTACCTTCAGGCATATCTCCAGCTGCTTTTCTTAGTTCATCATCAACAATTGGCACCTCCCCAAGTCCCTTCTGGATCTCTTCTATTACATTCATGATCTCTGGTTTGGCTGTGGCATATTCCCCAAGGATCCAGAGGGCATGACGATGTATCCTGGAAACAAAGGCATACATATTGGTAAGACTTTCATTGCTGGAATCTATCTTATTCTGTATATTGTCTCAAAGTGAAAATCTCATCAAAGCAAAAACTGCAATACTCCAGTATGCATTAGACTAGTAAGTAGGTAAAATATTCTTTATTCAATAACACCCAATTTACACCAATATTAACCTTGTTTAGTTATTATTTATAATTTATAAATAATACTTATAATTTCTCTGTCACATGTCCCTCCTTTTTTTGGCTGCCATCTTTAAACAGGATTAAAACTACATCCCCAAAGTAGTTTAATTAATAAAGCAAGGCTTCAAAATCGTTTAGTTAGCCATGCACGAACAGCTGATACTGTAGTTAACCTAAACAATTCCTAAACATTCATTTTTTTATTTAAGTCAATATTTGTACAGGCACACCTACTTTAGCAAGGCTAGCTTAAATAGAGTCCTTATGTTTACAGGTCTGGGGTGAACAGGGTACAGAGTACGAAACACAAGGAATGAGCTTACTGCTGAACAGAGGACCATTGCAGTTAAAGTACTGCTCGTTTATGAAATGCAGGTTATTTTAAAGAAACACTTACTTGACACTCTTGATCATGTGCACATTCTCCAGCAGCTTCTCCATGATAATTGGTTTGAGCTGCTCAAACCTCTGGATTGCTTCCCGTACAAACACCAAGACATCGAAAGCTGCTTGTTCATTGCTGTCACCCAGGAATTCCATCAACTAAAAATAATCAAAATTACAAGATTACAAAACGTACTACATGTGAAAGGATTATCTTTGTGATCATGATCACTTTAGTGAAATTTTAAATAGATACTGTATTACTAACTGATTTGACCTTCATAAGAAAGTCAAAACAACTTTAATCAGATTAAAGACAAGTATACTTACCAAGGGAACAATGGAATTGGCAACATCTGGGAATTTGACACTGCAAGTGTGTAAAGTACGAACCAACATCTAAATATAAAGAAAGTTCAATCAACCAACCATCAGACACATCCTCAACATTACAATGAATAACAACTCTATTCATTGGATAATAAACCAGGCTAAAAATAACTGCTGGTCATTGGACAATGTCCGGCCAAATTGGCACTTGTGCAGTCAAATTTTTGCCTTGCCGGTCATATTGACTAGTATAATGTCAGGCCAGAAACAAAGTATAACCGAGCTAAAGCCAAGATAAACCGAGCCATGACCGAGCCATGACCAAAACAAAACCAAGGCATGACCAAGCCATGACCAAGCCATGACCAAGCCATGACCAAGCCATGACCAAGCCA